GTGCAATCATGCACAGTATTCGATTAGACTAACCAGCAAGACAAAGAAATTAGCAGAAGACTCTGGGTTTAACAGAAGCAATGTAATTGTATCTGAGATTGGTGATATGAAAGGCATACAATATACTCTCCATGTGGGCTGACAAAAACAGATAAATATAATAATTTATAAACAGATACATTATCATAATTATATTATATGATATATAATAAATATAATAATTTATAAACAGATAAATATAAACAGATTTTTATATACAACTCTTTAGTACATCAGTTGCTAGAGTTTACTGCATAGCAGTATTCATTTTGTAATGTTGCATGTGCTCACTTAGTGTACAATCATTAGATATGTTTTTGCAACATGATGCTTTTATTTTAATTAGCAATTTTTGGAAAATTTAAAGTTTATCGTGTTATTACATTTTTCAGAAATCATCCTAAACAGTGTTGTAAAACTTTTAAAAAAAATTGCATGTTTGTCCATGACAGGTTTGGAGATTTAAACACTTAGGATGGAGAGTAACAAAGACCAGTTTTTTTTTTTTTAATAGCTCAAGTGGTTTCATTAAATTAGACCACTGTGTGTTGCAGCTCATTAATGAGCTACCACCATATGCTTAAAGCGCTTCGGTCAAGACTGGAAAAGATAAGACTCAATGCTTTCAAACCGGCTGCCTTGTCCTTTTGTTGGGCTCCTGTCAATGGAGTTACTTTGAATTCAGGAGCTACTAACCCAGACAATATGGCTTGCTATTGGCGACCCAAAGGTAGTCATGCATTATTGGAATACAGCCTACTGAGCTTCACATTACACAGATGTGAAGGGCTGATTATAGCTGCTTCATAATTAACAGTGATCAGATTTGTTTTGTGGCATAAATGGTGCATGTGTAGAACATTAGCCATGGCACTCTCATTCAAATTCAGCTCAAGGGCTCAGCGGCAGACGGGTCACGAGCTTCAGGGAGTACAAGCACAAGCTCCTCCATATGTTCTTGCCGCATCTTACTACGGCTACGAGCGCAAGATAAGTTCCCCAAAGAACCTAATCGTGTTCGGTAATTACAGTGCGGCTTTCTGCTGGCTAGAAATAAGGGAAAAGCTAAAACACTCCCTCATCAGATAATTTGTAAATTACTTTACATGGCGGATGCCTAACTCAGTTGGTTTTCAACTGCTGAAATTATAAATAATTGTAACAGATGTGGCAATATGGCTGGCCTCCAATAAATGAGGCCCCAGATAATTTGGCCGACCCTTTGACAGGCCAATTTAATAAAATGTGAACAAAATCTTCTTGCTAATAATTTATCATCCCTTCTCCCAATTGGTTAAACTTAATTACCCTAGCAGTTAACAAGGTCACACCCAGATGCCAAACTCGGCTGCAGTTTTGATAATGCAATCAGGAATCGAGAGGTGATGACAGCGTTGTTGTTTTTTCATTACCTGGCTTCCTGAAAACACAGGTGGCAAAGCCTACTTGTCAGTTTTTAATAATTATATGCTATTATGGAATGCATAGTTAGCAGATTGAAGACTGTGCATTAGCAGTTTTTCTCCTTTTTTGTCTGATAATGATTGAGGTCCTAATTTATAGCGATGATAGTGCACTAGAGCGCATTTATACATTTCCCGTGTCAAGAGTGAGATCTCCTGCCCCTTCAAAAGTACCAGATGTATGAAGCTTCCCAACCTCTTTACATCTCTGGGGGATGTGTGTGTTATCTCTTCTTGGGTTTTAATGCAAATGTTCCCTCCGAGAACACGACAAATGCTGGATCCGTATATCCAGGAAGACTAACTTCTTCCATCTAATACTCATCCTTCATAAATTTGGTTATAAATGGGGAGAATAAGCTATATATATTGTATGTTATGTGGCTTGCTTTCACAAGTCCTTAGTTAGCAGAGATGTACATTGTTCTTAGATGACCTCAAACTGACTGAAAAAAAGCAAAACGAAGGAGGTTAAGAACTGGAATGGTTCAAATTTTAGGACTTGTAGTTTAGAGTGGTTTGAATTGAATCTAGTCACATATATGTCACAGCATTGTCAGATTTGAAATCCACTTCCGCACGGAGTTGCGCAGTCAAATACTGTTGGGGTCGGCTGCTTTTGAACGCAGCCAGTGTTTCCTTTTATTTTTATCTCTACACCTGTAGCTTGTCAAGCTTAAGGGAGCTGACAGTGTTCCCAGAGGCAGCTGCTTCAGTCCTCCACCCATTGCCTCTTCCTTGCGCTCCTCGTGCTGTTATTGTGCAGAGTGAAAAGAAGTAGATAACTCTGCAGCTGTTGTTTCAGGGGGATGATAGTTTGCTGTCGGCTTCTGTTAAAGTACAAGGCTTGTAGTGGTGACTAAGGTTAATTAACAATTGGAGATTCCTTTTGTGAGGAGAATACATGAATAAAACATAGATTTTACTTGGAACGAATCAAGAAATAAAGAAAAATATTCACAGGTACTTTCAATACAAGCACTGAAATCTGTTTTTGAAGGTTTTTCTAATATTGCTAATATAAATGCTTTTATATTATATATGTTAATTATATGCATTATTATATTAGATACTGAGAATGGATACACTCAATATGAAAAGGAGAGTGTTCAGGTTGGTTTAATATGTAAAATGTCACACACATTTATATCAATCAAGCATTGATACAACCCAGAATTCTGTAATATAGTATTCAAATTTGAAGTTTTATCCTGTATGATTTTTCTTAACTTTGTGAGTAAGGCTTCAGGAGGTAGAGACTGGAAATTTGATGTTTTTGTACTTATAATCTCAATATAATTGGCAGCATAATCTCTCACCGTGTACTATTATACACTTTTACATGAGCAGCTTGTTTAGCAAAATACATTATTGTGCTTTTTTAACATTAATTTTAATGTTTGAACAGAGCAGTGGTGTGTATATACAGCCATACTGTAGTTATGATCTGGGGAAATTTAGTTATATTCTTGAACAAATAAGTGACAATCTGTTAACATCTTTTTAATTTTGTAGACAATTTGAGTCAACACGGTAAATTCAGACTATGCCCGTTTGACTGTTTCCCTTTTTACAATTATTTTAATAAGCCTAATAGTTTCTGAAGATGCTCTTTAATTGACTGACTCGTAGGCGGTGATGAATAGATATACATCAACATGTTGTGAGATTTTCCAGTCTCTAATTGAGCCGGCTGACTTGCGCCTGGCAGAGAGAAGTGGAGACTGAACCTGTACCCTAGAGGAAGGAAAATAAAATGCCATAGAGACACTCCAGAGCAATATAATGTACATACTATCCAACATAATTAAACCACATAAATAAAAGGTGTTGTCACATCCTAATTTTCCTTCTCATTGAAAATTGTTACCAATTCAGGGATAGAGATTACAGATTGTAATATAAGTAAACCTACCTAAGGAACGTTTGGGTCCTTGGCAGGTATTATTACTTCTCCATAATCGAGGATGTTTCTGAAGATGAATTTCTACAAATACTCAATTAAGGGGATTTTTTTGTAATTTTTTAAAGTAGTGTTTTGATATGCATTGCAAAGTGTTTTTACTAAAATAGTTATGCTCAATTTTAAATGCCCCCAAATACCCTGTGATAATTAAGTAATAGCATCCAAACACTGGAAAGTACACTTTTGTGGAGTGCCCATTGTACACCCGAGAACACTTGAAGCATGGCAGCATTGTAAAGCAGGCCCATGGGAGTTTTATTGCTTATTCTTTTACTTCAAAACGCACATTGCTTTGAGTAATGAGAATCTTATTAATGTCTGTAAGCAGAGTGGACATGTCATATTGTTTTACAGAAATACCATGAAATTGAATAAAAGTTTTTGTTTTGTCTATTTTGATATTCTTTATTGATCAGGTCCATTTTGTGTCCCAATCTGTTGGGCTTTTGTTAGATTTTATGGAGATCATTCCATTATTGTAAATCTATTTCTTTTAGGAATTAGCTGCGGTAGCTTCCTTAGAACACAGACCTGTGCCCTGTCAATGTCTTGTTCATTTACTAGCATATTGTTTTTTTTTTATTGGGTTTTAATAATTATGATTGTCCACGTCTTGTTAGTGGAGCCGTGGTAGTTCAGACAGCAAGGGTGTCTAGCCCCTGACCAGACCAGGTCCTGGGTTCAATCCCAGGTAGGGGCAAGCGATGCACTGCAGCTTGCTCTAATTCCTTCCTGACGGGACCCGGGTCCACTCAGCCAGCTTTCCAAATGAGTACCAGTACCGGGGGTTAATCCTTCTGGGGGTAATAGGCCGGCTTGAGCATGATGCTGAGCACATCACCTTTACCTCCAGTGTCGGATGGTTGAGACAAATGGTGGTCCTTGCCCCCCCATTCCCCAGTGGGCCTTTATGGCCTGAAAGGGAACCTACATCTTGTATAGTGGGTATGTAATGCTCCCATCATGATGTTTTGTTTTTCCTGCATATTTTAAGATGCTTCGGATTTTAGATAGTTTAAATTAAGAAGATAAAAGAACACTCCCAATATTGCAATTGCAGGATTATTGATGTTTTAGGTTTTACCTTCTTGGTTTGAGGGGCAACCCCCTGGACTAATGAAAGAAGAATTTGCAGCCCCTCCCCAATAACCCAAAGGTTTGCCACATTGGTAGTAGATGTAGGGATGATGGAGAGGTGTTAATATGGTAAATGCTGGGACTTTGTGGTACCGAGACACATACTTACAGTACATCTTAGAGCTGGGGATAGGCAACAATTGAGCCCTTCTTGAACCTTCATTATGTGTGTAGCTGTAGTTTGCAGTGACATCCTGGTAGAATTTATAATCAACACTATTGGCTCTGACTGCATAGAGCCCTCGTGCACCAACGTCTGTTTTTTTTCTTGAATGTCACAGCGGTTACACACAGGTCACAGCCAGATTATCTTGGGCATGTAGTGCCTCTGAATGGATCTCTGTTAGCCTCAGGGAAATCAGTTAATTAAATAATTTAATTTTATTATATTCCAGGAGCACCAGCATGTATCCATAGGAGAGCTGGAGTCCTTGGTTGCTGCACAGAGGGCTGAGCTGAACCAGCTGAGGGAGGAGCTGGAGACAGCCAACGCCAAGCTAGTTGCTCTCAATCCTGTCAGCAGGGATGGGCAAGACAGCCGCACGTTGAGAGATGAAAGGAGACGCAAGGTACAGGCATGATGTTCTATTGGCTCATTTCTTATCATTTGTGATGGAGCTCATTTATTCCAACAGAAATCACCAGCACAGAGGCTGCTATCTCAGTCTGTTGCCCAGCATTGCTCAGTAATCCATATTAACTTCAGAAGTAGGACGCGGAAACTGAAGAACAGTGCTGTGGTGTCTGGAACATGGATCTTTCAGTTTTAAACTTTGGTTTATTTCAAGAATGAAAGTCTGAGCCTTAATCTTTTAGTAAATGTCAGGGAATTACCTGGAGGTAGTGTGCAGTCTGATGCATGATAAATTTATAAATTTATAATTTATGAAAAAATTGGTGTGCAATATAGTTTTGACTAAAGCTCCAGTATTTCCAGGTTTTTTGTGGCAATTCTGGGATCAACACACATTTCCATTATAGGCCTAAGACTATTTAGACTTTTTGGCTAATAGTAAAATGCAGTATTTTATAGAGGTTCTTTCTGAATTTCTCACAAGCTTTTTACAGTTAATATGTGTAAAGATGTATCACACTGTAATAAAACACATGAAAGAACTATTCCACTGCTCCTACAAAGAATCACACAAAACTATCAAATACGTTAACACCCTGTTTGTGTATTTTTCTTTCACCCTTGCGTAATACATCTCTTATAATGTTAGAGTCAGCTTTCCGTATATTCTGAGTGATACTGATGACTTTGTCACATAATTAAGACAAATCTATTTGATCATGTGAAAAACTGGCCCTGGTTGCGAGTGTGTGCATGACTATTTGTGTCCGTATGTGCCCTGTGATGGACTGGCATCCCGCCCTGGGTGTACAGTACCCTGCCTTGCGCCTGTTGCTTGCCAGGATAGGCTCCGGCTCTCTGTGATATACTGTATGAATAGGAAGAAGAGGTAAGAATATAGATGGATGGGTATCCACAGAAATGCTCTAGAAAGCAGCACATTTCTATGAAATACTAGGAGTTTCTTTATCATGCCCCTGTCAACTGTCAACTGAATGTGTTGAGGGCTACCCAGTTTCTGGTTACTTGTGACTTTACATTATCTTCCTTTTTTTGTGGGGGATGCTTTTAACACAAGAAGATGTGAATTACCCCTGAGCATCTACAAAGTGAAATGTCCACAGCTGTACCAGGCATTACAGTAGTTGTAACAGTGAGGATCTTCACATTCTTCATTTGGGATAGTTCCCCTATTAAAAAATGGGTTCACTAACAATCCTTTTTCCAATCCAATTTGAAGATACAAATATTAAAATGTTATTAATAATAAAGGCTGTCCAGTATGCAAAGTAAAATGTCCTTTAAGTTGTTTCCATTTATATAAAGTACAAAAGTCTTGAGATGGCAAAGTGAAAATTAGTGTTTTTGCTTTGCAGTCAGGTACTTAATATGTGTTATAAGAAACTTCATATGAATAATAACTGCAGTTTAATATGTTATATGTTTATGACGTTTCATACATACAGTACATTTGGTCATATTGGAAGGAAAATCATACTTCAACCCAATATTTTCAAGTACTGAGACACATTAATGTTAAGTAGAAGTCAATATTGGGTTGCATCTCCTTTTGAGGGAATCAGTGCATGAAGTCTGTGACGCATTGAGCTCAGCAAACTGTGTAATCTTTTAAGATGTTTGTTTGATGAAACCACTTTGAATTCTTGGGGATTTTGATTTCATTTTTATCTTCAGCATTTATATTGCTTACTCATTTGGAATTATATTTTTTTCTCCTGATGCAAATCTTGCCTTCATTGGCTGTATATTTTGAGTTATTGTCAGGCCGTATGGTGAAGCTCCACCCAATTAAATTATTTTCTTCTGTTATAACAATGATTCCTATTTAAACTATGACTTATTTTTAGGCTTCAAGATAACTTTTATAGGTATTATACAATATCACGTTTCAGTAGTTATGATTAAAAGGCATGGACAAATATTTAATATTATTTAAATGTTTTGCACAACACATTTCCCATACTACACAGAGTCCTGCTAATGATAGCCTGATCCAGGCTGCACACTCTGTACCTTATGAAGCATAGCCCTGAGAGATCTGCAGCCAGAATCACAGGCATTTTTGGCAAATAACTGCTGTATTCTCACATTTTAAAGCAATGCTTTACATGTTAGTAAAGTGATTCTAGCATATGTCATACACTGAGGACTTTGCCACAAGCCTGCTGTCAGGCACATCACTGTGGTTCGTCTTTTGTCCCGAGGCTTTCCAGCGCTTCGAAGATGGCAAAACACGAAAGAACGTCGGGCAGCCTTGACATTGCATCACCATTGCTGTTACTGCAGCTCTTTAGTGTTTGTTGAAAAGCTGCTGGAAACCATATTCTTGGAGACCTAATACATGTTCATTACTGATCATTCCACTGTACTTTCATGCACTAAAATGCTTTCCTCTTTCTTTATATAAATTCTCATCAACTATTTTAATCTTTGCCTCTCAGTCTATTTTTATCATTTATTTAAAAATAGTTTCAGTTTCGTCTTCTGTTGTACTGTTTTCCTCTGTAATGTACAACTCTATACCATTAGACCTAGGCTATTTTTAGTTAATGGTGGTCAATTGCTTCATTGCTCTGTTTAATTTCCTCTGATATATTAACAAGATTACGGATATTTTAAAAAAGTGTATAGTACTATTGAGGAAAAAGAAAAATAATAGGGATGTGTTTTTTTTATACACATCCCAGAATAATAATAAAAAATATTTCTTCATAAGATTTTTTTTGGCATGGCCATCAGAAAGTTTTAATGTACCTTCAAAGACGTAAAGTAAATAGAGCTTAAAATGATATGATCACTATGCCAACACATACTGTATTTATATCATATCCATCATCCAGCCATTTTCCAAACACTTCATCCAATACAGTGTCTCAGGGGATACGGAGACTATCCCAGCAAGCAACGAGCACACTGGCATCCCATCCACAATATACTGTACACTGCCAGTCTATTGTGGGAAACAGACATACAGACACACTAAACACCCCGGGCCAACTTTCTTAGAAGCCAGTTAACCTATCAGTATGTTTGGACTTTAGGAGGAAACCGGAGCATGCAGAGGAAACCCATTGGAGAACATGCAAACTCCATGCAGGCATCACCCCAGATTCGTAATTGAACACAGGGCCCAGTGCTGTAACGCAGCAATGCTAACCACTGTGCCTCTGTGCTATTTCTTCATATTGCATCATTTCATATATACAGCACAGTGAAAGTTTAGTTTGTAAATAGATTGTTTCACAAGATATTATCTGATGGCTACAGTAAATTAAATAAGTTTGTTTGTCATGATGTTGTCACTACAACAATAGGGTGCCTTGTAGAAGTGTTCATTGATGTAACTAACCAACGTTGATAGTATGTAAAGATAGTCTTTGAAAGATGTGTAAAGTTCTGTCTGAGATGGGAGTAACTGTTCATAGAGTACATCAACAATATCCTGGTCTCTAAACAAACATGGCCTGTATGGTGATAAAAAAAAGCCTTTACTGAAAACGTTAACTTAAATCTTGTATGAGATGTCCTGCAGACATGTGGTAGAAGGTTCTACTGGCAGATTAAACCAAAATGAACTTTTTTTCTAAAAATAATACTGTACTTCTGGCGCAAGCCCCACACCGCAACATCACTCAGTCAGCAATATCACAACTGTTAAGCATGGAGGCGGCACCACCGTGTATGGGAATGTCTCTCATCAGTAGGGATAAGGAAACTTGTAAGCTTTGAGGGAAAAATGGATCAGATCAGGAAACTGATCTAAAGCATAAGGCTAAAGCCACACTGAAGGGGCCTGACATGATCAGTGTGATTGTCCTCAAGCTGCTCGGTCAAAGCCTTGACGTCGGTCTTGGCTCCTGATTGCAGTTCCCAGTAAACGTGTCAGAGCTGGAGCAATTTTGCCAGGAAGAATGGCCAAAATTACGCCATCCCATTGAGTGAAACTTGTAGAGACCTATCCAAAATACTGACAGTAGTAATTACTGCCAATGTCAAGTACTGACTTAGTGGACTGAATACTGCAGTCTGTAAATTCCACTTTGAATGCCTTCTTTGCAGTTTTTTCAAATGTTCAGCCTCCTTCACATACAATCTGATAATTGCAGTTTTGAATTAAAAGTTCATTTATTCCCCTGTATATTTAACTAATGTTTTGTTTTTACACATTTTTTTAAAAAATATTTTAAATGGTATTTAATCAATAATAGATGTTGGTTTTACATGAATTCTTCCATTTTCATCCTTGAGGTTCAGATTATCTTGTTTTGAACTGAAATTTATCATCAAAGTCACATTACATTTAACGACCATCTGGTCAGTTCACACTATGAAGTACTGTCTCTTGTATTTATATTCTTCCAGCATATTGTTCCCTCTGCTTTACAATGTGTTTAAGTATTTCAAAGAAAGAGAAATCATTTCCCAATTGTTTCCAGTTGTCCTATCAAGTGTAACCTTGGACCCTCATAGAGCAATTAGACTAGCCTCCATCCCCTCCTTTGTAATGAGGTTTCTTGCATTTCTGAATCTATAACCCTTTAGTCTTCCCTAATGGGACATCATTATTGTGAAAGAAACAATGTAAATGTAAATGAATATACTCATTAGCAAGTCACAGAGAAACCTTTAGTGGTAGCACTGTGGTACTTCTGCTTGTTATTCCTTTGGTATTCTGTATAGGATTTTTTATAATTCATTATTAGTATTCTCAATTACTTGTAGTTTAATTTTGCATGCTTTTCATAATACAGTGTTGAAACTTGTTCAAGCATGTCCTGGTTTTATTCTCTAGGATCCACCTGTGAAGCGTTCAAGGTCTCTGTCCCCGATGAACTGTGCCGGTGTTGCCGAGGAAAAGATGAGACTCAGAATAGCCGAGAGTAAGATCCGCAACTTGGAAGAGCTTGTCAAGTTAAAGGTGAAAGCACGGTCCATTTTATTTTCTTATTATTTCCTAGCATAATTATATAGGGAATTAAAAATCCCAATGCTTTGAAATCCAGGTAACACGATATAATCCAATCATACTGCTGAAATGATCATCATCCCGCATTGCTAAATGTGACACTAGGCTGTAGTTAACCAAGCCCCATAAGCTGCTCAAGATGAGCCATGTCTGAATATACAGCACTACAGAGCATGAATATCGCGCACCTGTTCCTGGCCGTTTCGAGAACAGCCCACCTTTGCGCTTGAATGTTTATAACCATAGCGAGTAACTTTGCGGCCATGAAAGTGATGAAATGTTCAGGAGAGAGGGGGATTCTCTGTTCCCCACATGGTTTGACTTTTCTCAAATCCCTTGCTCAGTTTCCTCACTTAGCTCTGGCTGATTGGAGCCGTGCTTTAGTGTTTCTCAGCCGTAAAATTCCAAAACAGTTCAAAAGTGGGAGGGAGACGGTAAAGAACAACAAAGTGACTGCTCAGAAGAACACATGGGCTTTTTTAAAAAAAGTTTTGGATTTTGTGATGTCACGTTTTTCTTGACGTGGGCTAAGATCTCCCTTTTCACATTCTTTTGTATGGTCCAGCCAGTGAAGGATTCTGTTATGGAGCTATTGAGTAATAAAATGACCATGCATATTTTGTGTTGATATACATATTATTCAAATTATTCAGTAATAATTTGTATATTAATTAGCCTAGTATAGAGCCTAAAAGGTGTCCAGTTGAAGCCAGGGACAAACCAAACTGAAAGCAGTTGGATTGTTTTGGGTTGTGAGTAAAGATGATTAAACTGGAATAGTATTGTCTGCAGTCGGTAGCCTACAACCCTCTGTGATGCCAAACATAATCAGTGTGAAATTCTAGAGAGGTTACCATGTAGCAAGGCTTACTTTCGACAAGAGATATAAAGCCAGAAAACAGACCTTGCAGATGAACATATTCAGGTTATTTTATTTTACAAACTTCCCACTCCTTCTTATATCACTCTTGGCTGTACTGTTGATGCAGATTTATCACATCTGTGATGTCTGATTTTCTTTTTAAAAAATCCGTCTAACCATTTCTCTGAATAAAACCTCTGTAAATAAAAAAGGCTATGATTTTTTTAGAAGGTTTGTGTTTATGGAGAGCAGGTGGTTCTAAGGTTATTACAAGTTATTCAGAAATATACATAATGCCTTTTTGGGATCTTTGCTCTAATAAGCAACACGTTTTAACTATAGAACAACGCGCTGTTGACTGCAATATTTGTAGCTTTCTATAACAATGTCTAATGGTCATTCTAGATGGGTGGCACACTGACTCAGTGGTTAATATTACAGCCTCGCACCACTGGGGCTCTAGGTTCAGTTCCATACCTGGCACCTGGTGTCCTATCTGCATGGAGTTTGTCTGTTTTCCCTGTGTTTGTGTGGGTTTTCTCCGGGTGCTCTTCTTTCTGATACAGAAAGGGTTCTGTGAAAATTGGCGTGAGCGTGTGTCTACGTTTATGTCTGTGTGTACCCTACAATGAATTAGCTCCCTGTATCTTGAATGCGGTGTATCCTTCCTTGTGTCCATTACTTGCTGTGATAGGCTCCGAGATGGATAGATGGATGGTAATTCTAGTTCAGTTGAGTTTATTTGTCATATGCACAAGTGCAATGAAATGCTAATTTGCATGTCTGCTCCAATACAAAATTCTAGATTGTGTAAAAGGTATTGGCATGGATGAACTGCAGTGTTTTTGTTGGGGACTGATTGCCCTTGAGGCTTTTTTAGGGCTGTGTATGTGGCCTTTGCTTACTGTGCATTGCCTAGCTCAGGTGTAAAAACTGACACATGGGTGTGAGCAAAGCTTCATTTTAGTTAATGTAGGGGTGTAACCCCGGCATCCTGTCCAAATTTCCCATTGGCCCTTACCAATCATGGCCTCCTAACAATCCCCATCTATGAATTGGCTTCATCACTTTGTTCTCCTCCCCACTGATAGCTGATGTGTGGTGAGCGTTCTGGCGCACTATGGCTGCCTGCGCATCATCCAGGTGGATGCTGCACATTGGTGGTAGTATAGGGGAGTCCCCATTACCTGTAAAGCACTTTGAGTGTAGTGTCCAGAAAAGCGCTATATACTGTAAGTGTAAGCAATTATTATTATTACTAATGTAAAAGACTGTAAATTAGACTGATCAAGAAAAGGTGAAATTTGTTTGTGAAAGGAAGTCATAAGATTTTGAGATGTGAATTAAAAAACAAATACCCTTCCGTTCTTAGCCATAAAATACATAGAAGGTTCTGACCACCCAAATGTTAAACTTCAGATGAATATCATATTCCTCCTTTGAGAAATGTGCTCTTAGTTCAAAAATGCTCACCCAGTAAGGAGTTTCCTTTTTTCTTGATTTTGTCTGCGGAAAGTAAGTAACTTAATAAAAAGTCAAGGAGATTTGCTTTTACTGTACAGTATATGTTTCACCCATCACGTACCGGATGTTTGTCAACAGTGTGACAAAGCTGTGACCTTTACTTCTATATTTAAAAAAAATTCAGATGACCCACCAAACAGCAGGTGGGATATACACTGTAGAGCAGTTCTTCGTCTTTTGTAGTATTTTTTTCCACTGTGGATTCTTCCTGGTGGTCTCTGGTGTTGCACCTATAGTACCCCATGATCTTGGGTTAAAATGTTCAAATTAAAAAGTTCCTCCTCCAGCCCAGAACTTGATATGGCTTTCCATTAATGAACACTTGTTACAGCCTACATTTTCAAGTTCAGCACTTTTTCATTCTTTAAATATTCAGTAAAAAGCCAGCATCGATTAAGCAGATGTTGCAGTTCTGCAACTGGTGGCTTACCCATTTAATGAGTAGCTTTGTGGAGCTATCTCCAGAAGCTGAACAAGACAAAGCAAAAAGGCATAGAAACTTTCACCTTGAGCAAAGGCGAAGATCATAGTAGTCATCTTGTACAGAATTAAATAACCTTTATAGTTTGTCTCTAAGGATTCATCAAAGGCCTCCAGCAATGAGAGAATGCAGACTGTAGTTGTTTTGTTTTTTGTAAGCTTCCTTCAGATCTCAGAATGCCCTTTTTTGTTGATGCATTATAAGAATGTTTATCAGTAGGGTCATTATGAATGACCTTAAACTGTGTGCAGCATTCTTTCTTGTTTTGTTTTTATTCAGTAAAATGGTGGTATAGTGAGTACCCTATGCTGTATTAGCTTGTTTTACATAGTAACTGAGATCAAGGGTTCAGCAGAGGGCTTCAAGTTAAACTGGCAGACCATTTGATGTTTTCTGTCGGTCCTTATTGGCTGGTATGTCAGTGCATTACAGGCAGTGGAGCAGAAGCTCTTCTGTACTACAGACACCACCTATAACCCTCTGTACTTTGAGGTTAGGGTGAACTTGCCCTGTCTGAGCTTTGTTCTCCTAGAATCAATTGCTTAGCAAAATCTAGCCCTTGTAATTGTAAGGAGATTTTACCAGTTTGAGAGATGAGAAGAAGAGTGTTTTTGGAGCTATGTTTTGATAAAAGCTACAGTTGTTATTGGTTTAGAAACTGGAAAGGCAGGGTTAGTGTATTTGTTTGGGGGGGGGGATTGCTTAATTTCAAGAGTAATTTCTTCCCAGTCTAGGTTTCAATTAAAAGAAATAACTTTCTCAGCTAACATGTGTTTGTGCTAAATTGGATCATGTGATTAGATAGAAACTTTATTAATCCCGTGAGGAAAATTGCAGTGCAACTGCAGCCAGGCACAGTCAACGCAGTACAGTGTAACATATTAATACAATAATATAACAATACATTACTGTAAGCACAGTCAGTGAGAAGTGCAATAAAAATGGAGTATAGAGAATTGCACACAGTACAGAATATACAAAAAAATATACAGAATATACAAAAACAAACCAGAATGTACAATACACAAGAAGATGTATTGCACAGTATAAATATATTGCACATTATTCACAAGCATATATTGCACACCAGTTGTAAACAGAGGATTTGGGTTTAGTCCCAAACAAGTCAATGTTGCCCCTGCCCAGACACACAGTAGATGAGTTGTACAGTCTTATGGCAGAAGGTAAGAATGACCATCTGTAGCGCTCCCTGTCACACACCTAATGTTCTTTATTCCGACAAGCATGGCATATAGGGGTTGGGAGACGTTGTCCATGATGGTCTTTAATTTGGACACCATTCTCCTCCAAGGGGTCAAGATCAGACCCAATGACAGAACTTGCTCTTTTGATGAGCTTGTTCAGCCTGTTGGCATTCCCAGCTCTAATCCCAGAGCCCCAGCACACCACCACATAGAAAATGGCATTCGCTACAACAGACTGATAGAACTTATGAAGCATCTGACTACAGTTAACCCTCTTCCAGAAGTAAAGTTGGCTCTGGCCCTTCATGTAGATGGCCTCAGTGTTATTAGTCCATTCCAGTCTATCGTCGATGTGAACGTCAAGGTACTTACCCTGGTAAGTGTTGAGCCATCCTGGATTACACCCTGAATGGGATGTCAGTCTATTACATTGCGTCCACATACACTTCTGCGACATCCATTACCACAGGCCTGATGGGTGCAGGAAGCAAGAAAAAATACACACAAACACAAGGGGGACATGCAACCCCCACGCAGAGGGTATCCATTAAACTCAGGACTGAAGAGCAGCGAGACAGCAGTTCTCTGCGCAGCACTTTTGGTTTACACTCAGTGTGTTCAAAAAGCCAAAGAAATGTTGCCACCAGTGCGAGAAGACTGACAGCCGTAGAGGAATTGAATTATGATTTTGTTTAAACCCGCAGCAGCATCCTTCTTGACCTTTTAATTTTTAGTCTCTTCCCCATATTGAATTTCCACGAAAGTAATGAAACAGCAGGAGAGCAGCTGGCACACTGGTCAGTTAAAAAGATTCTGCGGGACTCTGAATGGCCCTAAACTAATCAGCCGTTTAATTCTTCTGACCTTCATTCTTCCTCTT